GGACGTGGGGGGAGGGGCTGAGCTGGAGGGGGGGTCTGGGAGGTGGCTGTGGGGCAGGGTTTCCCAACCTGTGGGTGGCAGGGTGGCTCTGAAGGAGCCATTCCCCTTTTTTGACTTGCCCCTGGTCACCAGCTCTTCCTGAATTGTCAGAAGGGGTCCCCCTCTGGGACCCGCCGGGCTAGGGCCTCATCTGGGTGCGAGGGTGAGCCCCTCCTTTCCTCTCGCCCGGCATGCCTGTTGAGCCCACCAACCACCGAGAGACTGGGGCTACGTCCAGACTGGCAGGATTTTCCGCAAATGCTTTCAACGGAAAAGTTTTTCCACTAAAACACATTTGCGGAAAAGCGCGTCTAGATTGGCACGGACACTTTTCCGCAAAAGCACTTTTTGCAGAAACGCGTCCCTGCCAATCTAGATGCGGTTTTGCGCAAGAAAGCCCCGATCGCCATTTTTGCCATAGGGGATTTTTTGTGCAAAACAATACCGCGTTGTCTACACTGGCCCTTTTGCGCAAAAGCATTTGCGCGAGAGGGCTTTTGCCTGAACAGGAGCAGCACAGTATTTCCGCAAGAACACTGACAATCTTACATTGCGGAAATTCAAGCGGCCAGTGCAGACAGCTGGCAAGTTTTTCCGCAAAAGCAGCTGCTTTTGCAGAAAAACTTGCCAGTCTAGACGCAGCCAGGATGAATCTGTGATTGGGGACGGAGGGGGTGAGTAAGCAAATAAATCTCTTCTTCAGCTGTAAGGGCTCCTGGCTCTAGAATTAGTACAAAAAAACAAAACAAAAACCAACCCCCCCCCCCCACCGCACTCAAAACAAACAAAACAAAACCAACCCAGAGGCTTCTGCCAAGTTAAGTGTGTGGGGGCCATGCTGAAGAAATTGACTTGGAAGGTTTTTTAGATTATCTATCAGTAACTGTCCATCACTGTCAGTTTCCCCTGGAATAGTGATAGAAATGTAGCCCTGTTAGTCTGGTGTAGCTGAAGCAAAATACAGGACTATGTAGCACTCTAAAGACTAACAAGATGGTTATAATAAACCTAATAAACCATCTTGTTAGTCTTTGGAGTGCTACATAGTTCTGTCTTTTGTTTCAGCTACACCAGACTAACACGGCTGCATCTCTATCGCTGTAGAACTCAGCGTTTGATTTAAAAGGTTGTGTCTTCGGGCGTGCTTTATTGGCCGCCTGTGTTTTAACAGTTGTAAAGCTTTAGAATGTCAACATCTTCTGGCATTAGATAATGATTGTTTTCTCCCTGCCCTTTCCTTTCCCTCAACTGTGAAAATTTGAATCAGTAAAAATAAAATGTTTATAAATAAACTTATAACCATCAAAATTATTTTAAAAATCAAATTATGTGAAGCTTATGATTTTGCCAGCCCAGGTCTCTGCTGTGCATAAGTGTTTCAGTGGTAATCAGCCCCTGGGTTTAGTGCAGGCTGGAGGAGTTTCTGTCTTTAGAGCAGGGGTCTCCAACCTTTTTAAGCCTGAGATCACTTTTTGAATTTAAGTGCAATCCAAGATCTACCTCTTACCCAAATACCCTGGCCCCGCCTCCTTTGTGCCCTTTCCGTAGCCCCACCCCCTGCTCACTCCAGCCTCCTTCATTTTCACCAGGCTGGGGCAGTGGGTTGGGGTGCAGGCTCTGGTCTTGGATTAAGGGATATGGAGTGAGATGAGGGGCTCTGAGCTAAGATTGGGGCAGGCAGTTGGGGTGCTGGAGGGGGTTCTAGGTGCAGGCTTTGGGAGGCTGGATGCAGGGGTGCTCAGGGCTAGGGCAGGGCCTTGGGCTGCAGGAGGTAGTTCATGACTGGGGTAGGGTTTTGGGATGTGGGCTCCAGCTGGGCCTTGCTTATCTCAGGTGGCTTCAGGGTGGTGCAGTGGGGCTAAGGCAGGCTCGCCCCTGCACCACTTCCAAAAGCAGCCAGCAAACTCCCTCCCAAGCCCTGTTGTGCCCCCTCTCTGTTCTGTGGAGATAGGCTACAGGGGAGGCTCCTTGACATCAGCATTCTCCTCTCCTTCCCCTGCACAGCAAGGAGGATCCTGAGGGGACAGTTCTAGGGCAAAGGGCAGGAGATGCACAGCAGTGGAGGGGATGGGCAGCTGAAGTGCTGGCACTTGGGAGCCTCTTGGCCAAACCAGTCAAGATCATCGGTCAGAGGCACTAAGAACTACCAGTTGATCCTGATCTACTAGTTAGTGACCACTGCTTTAGAGTAAGTAAGATTCACTACCAGTATCTCTCACTCCCTTTAAAGGAGAAACTTAAAAATACAACGAATAGTCTAGCTGCACCTTCAAGACTAACCAAACATGTAGATGGTATCACGAGCTTTTGTGGGCTTTGCATCTACATGTTGGGTTAGTCCTGAAGGTCCTCCTAGACTATTCCTTGTTTAAGTTTCTCAAATTACAGACGAACTCGGCAACCTCCCTGATCCTTTTAAAGGGATATTCCCCACTAGCACCACATAGGTTTATTTTATGCTATCAGCTACGATTGGGCCCTACAGCCACAGGAGTATCCTTGAATGCCCCAGGCTCGTATTCTAGCTCTTGTTGATGCAGCAACAACCATTGTTGCATTGTGAGACCTAGAATGCTCAGCTGCTGCCACTCTGTTACATCAATGGCACCAGCTGTAATCTCAGAGTGTGTGTGTGTGTGTATCTTCAATCCCTCCTTACTCCCCTCTCGAGCAGGGATGGGGACCAACCCTGACCTGTGCTATTACCCACACCTCTTCTAGGAGCACTTTGTGGGTAAATAATGATTATCCCCAGCAGTGAGTAGCATTTACTACCTGAAAACTAGTTATTGGGTTTCTGTTATTACATCCTTAAGATGCTGTTTCTCTGAGTATCAAATAGTGTAACTAAGCGAAACAAGCAAGCCACTAAGGTCAGCTTGTAAAGACAATGCTCTGCTTAACTCATCCTTCCTGCAGAATACTACTTATGGTGAAATGCCCTCTCACCGTTAAGCCAGTACAACTGTTCTCCTGTGACAAGCCTTAAGAAATTACCCTGAAAATCTGGAAGGTCACATAGACAAGTGGTTATCTGAATGATAATATTTTGGTTCTTTAAGCGTTTATACATTTTATTAGCTTTTACGTACGACAGATAGATTTGCCGGGTTCAAAAGGCATTTGGTAATAGCACAGCCATAGGGGTTTAAGGCTAGAAAGATCCATAATATTCATCTATCTCCTCCTAACGCAAGCCTGAAATTCACCAAGTAGTTCTTGCATCCAGCTCATAACTGGTCCTCTTTGCATTCCTGGTGATAACCCCATGAAACAGATCTCATTATTACTGTCTTCTTGCTGCTGGCTATGCACTATTTATGTCCCACCCAGACAAAGCAGCTTTTTCAACGAGCCCCTCCCTCCCCCCAAAAAAGTGTTTGACTGGTACCTTTCCTACAATACTGAGTTTTACATCACTTTTCTTACCGAAGGATCCCAAAGCACTTTACATTATAACAGTATTGATACTTCTGCACAACATAGCAGATTTTTGAACCAGAAATGGGGCACTTACCCAAAATATCACATGGCCTTTAACCTTTTACTGGAGGTTTTTAAGTACAGGTTAAACACCTGTCAACAATGGCTGAAGTCAGGGGCTCTCCATTTTTTGGGGTGAGACCCTGTTTGAAAATTTTTCAGGCTGTTATTCCTCCCTTCCCCAAAAATGTCAACCCCTCCCCTTATTTTTCCACTGCTGCTGGCAGAGGCAGTGCCTTCAGAGCTAGACACCTGCCAGCACCCACTGTTCCTGCAACCCCTATTTCAATAATATTGTGACCTCCCTTTTGAGTTAGAAGTCTACAAGTGTTTGAGGAACATGTGTCCTGGGGAGAAGGGGGAAGAGAAGAACAGGAAAGGTGACCTTTTGAGGTCCCTTTCAGTCTACATTTCTTTATATTCACTGAACATGGTCTTTATTTTTTTAAAGCTTTCCTAACGAATTTTACACAAACTGCATGTTCAGCCGACACTGGCACTTGTGGGATTTGAACCTAGCTTTCCAGATAACCCAGGGATTGTCTAAATTAGTGTTTCTCAACCCCCTGTACCTACAGTTTTCAGACAATTTTTTTTCCTACCATTACAACACATTTGTTTGAACAACTTAATCATAGCCAGCTAGGCGATTAAATTTTTGGGTGTAAAAAGTGCAAAAATCAAAAAATGCTGTAAAACTTAAAACAAAAATCCAGTTTTCTCCCAGTTTCAGTTGTGTTGACGTACCCCTCAGACTTCTCTCTAGTTCCCTTAAGTCAGCCACTGACTGAGAAACACTGATCTAAGTAACCTAAGGTGTTACTTAAGGATTTAGTAAAACCAGTACAAAAAAAGGGCATAGACACGATTTCATATTAAGCTAAACCACAGAAAGATCATCAAGACAGTTTCAACTGGCAATCATTTGTGTGGCTCAATCACATACATGCTTTAAAGCTGCAATTCAGCTTCACTCCAATTAGGGATGCAAAATTGTTAACCAGGATTTTGTGGGCAGGTGGCTCCTCCAGCCCAGCCTTGCCTGCCATGATACAGGCTGCTCCGGTCAGGCTGGGCTCAATCCGCCATGCCAGTGGTGGGGGTACTCAGACTGGGCCCACCACACGACGGATGAGGAGTTGTTCCAGCCTATGCTAGGGCACCCCCGCCCATAGCGTGGTGGAGGGCTGCTCCAGGCTGCTAGCTAACTGGTACCTGTTAACATCTCTAACGTAAATTGAGTCAGATTACAATTTTAGAATAATTAAAACTCAGGTGTTGCTTGAAGCTTAGCCCTCCAACAGATACTAACAGAATGGGAAAGAGGAAATTCTCTTCTATAATTACTACAAGCACATAAAAAAAAATCAGCTGACTGACAGACACGGAAAGTCATTTATAGTAGGATCACTCTGAAAAGCCGTACTCAGATTTCTGTCTGATGCAGCATAAATGCATTAGCGGACCTGATACCTGCCCCAAAGAGCTTACCCTCTGCTCTTGCTTTTCAGGTTGGCTGCCTCTCTACTTTGCAAGCTTCGGGCTATGTTACATCTTGATCTTCAGCAGTATGTTTTACTTTCAGTGGAAGAAAGTTGTCCGCCGGGAGCAACGGGCGAAAGCATGGGTGGAGCTGATGAGGAGTGAAACATTCTTCCCCAATGCAATCGTTCACTGGGCAAACAAGAGAGCTCATTATGGGATTAAAGCAGAGGTTTGCACTCCGGAGTCCAGAGCCAGCCCAAAGCAATATGGCAAAGGCTTTGACAAAGACGACAACTCAGGCATTGATACTTTCCTTCCTTCCCTCCCAGGTGGGGATTCATACCAACTGGTATTTCAGGAACTGCCTTGTGTTCGTTCACTCTCCAATCTGCCACCCCTGCTCCCTCATTCAACTTCTTATCCCTTTTCAGCCATTCCATCTGGGACTGTTCCATTCATTTCTCTTCCCGACTTCGTTCCATTAGGAGATGGGAGAGACCACTTCGGCAGCAGCAACTCTGCTTGTGAGATGTAACTCTTGGCTAGCCCGCAAAGGGTGCAGCCTTTGGCTTTGGGATGGGAACCCAAACGAAACATGGACACATTTCTAAAGACAAATAAAACTGGCTACAGCATACTGTCATCAGAATACTTTCAACGCTGCCTTCTGTGTGTTTTCTTTGTTACTCACAGGACACTTGGGGGCTTCAGTAGAGATACTTCCCCCTTTGAGGGAATTCAACCTGAACCCCTCCAATGTCAACTTCCTATATGTACATCTCAAGTTAAGGTAAAACTGGTTATTTGATTCCTCCTCAGAACGCCACACAAGCCCATCTGCCCAGCCTGGCGGTTTGCTTTGCACCACTCTGACTAATACAGAATACACCACCTCTTATTTCCACATCCAGACTCTTGGCCAAAGCGCACTCTCAAATAAGCAATTGAGAGCTTACTCCATCAATTAAATGAGTTGTAGCCCCCCCCCCTTTCAGTTTATTTTTTTTTTTAAATTCAGCCTCACATACAAAACTGCTTTGGCATTTTTCATCCTGTCATAACGGGGGTTACGAAGGGCAATCCATGCTAAAACCTTATTTTGTGTTGCTACTCAATTATGGAGAAAATGTCATGGCTCCATTTTAAAACTGGTGAAATCCTGGCTCCAGTGAAGTCATGGAGTTCGGACCTGGACTTTTAAAAGGATTTAAATCCTTGATGTTCAAACTCCCTCTGTCTTCAACTTAAGCTAGATTAGTTTGCCCATCAAAAATCTGCAGTTAAAGTTAAATTGGAGCAGAGTTTTCCCAATATTTACTGGATGTTTTAAAAGTTTGAGATAGCCCGTTTATAAAAAGCACCACTTTTTTTCCAGCTACCTCTAGTTTGAACAGACACACTTGTCCACAATTTTAACCAGTATTCGTAACTCCTTTTTGTCCTAATTATGGAAGACACTGCTGAAAGAATTGCCTCAAATATTGCTTTCCAAGTACAGGCTGAACCTCTCTAGTCTAGAACACTCCGGTCTGGAAACGTCCATTGTTCGGATGGATATTCACTTTTCATGGATGTGGCCAAGTTTCCCGCATGTCAAAGTTTGTTTACAGCTACCAGTCCTGACTCAGTGTTCTGTGCTATTATTTAGCTCTAATTTACCTCTAAAATATCCTCTAACAGTCCAATAAGCAGTGGAAGTGTTGGTAATGTTGCTAGACAATATTGATCTCCCATGTTCCAGAAAATTCTCTCGTTCGCAACTGGTCAGGTCTTGAGGGTGCCGGACTAGAGAAATTCAACCTGTTCAGGGTATATTTCTTTATTCTTGTCTTCAACAGCAAATGTAGCAGATATAAAATTATTTCTTTATTCTTGTCTTCAACAGCAAACGTAGCAGATATAAAATTAAAATCACAACATTTTTCCCTTGGAGAGGAAAAATAGAATAAAATATTACACATAATAAATGTCAGTCAAAGTTTAATGCACTTCTGGAAGGTTCTCTTGATGCTATGGCGATAAGGGTGGGCTAAGACTCTGAACAGAATAAAAAGGATTCATCATCAGTTCCCATGTGCTAAAGTTGAACATTTAACACACCAGGGAAAGTGAAGCTGATTTCACATTTTTTTATTTTAACTGCTGATCACTCTAGCATTGGTTATTCCACAAATGATTTTGCACACTAAATTTCACATTTTTTTATTTTAACTGCTGATCACGCTAGAATTGGTTATTCCACAAATGATTTACTCACGTGCACACTACAAAATTTAAATATTTTATTTCGATAAATTAAACTGTTATTACATAATGACATGCGCAGAACTCAGTAGCTAAAACTAGCTTTAATTTACTCCATATACAGATCTCAAAAAGCCTCAGTACAGTTCCAAATAGGTCAAACTTTATTCAAATAAAGCCAACATTTCACTTATTGTACAGGAAAGGTCAGGTAAACTAAAATTCACAAAATGGTCCGTGTGTACTTTTGAGTTTAAAAACCAAGATTAGTAAATCAAAGTTTAAAAACAAATTAGCAGGCAAGAATGTAATGTATACAGAGAATAAACTAAAAAAAACCCAATGCAAAACAACTTGGAAATTATTTACAATGCTAGGATAGGTTCTAAAATGCGGTTTTAAGAATTCTGGACAATAATGGAGGCGCTTTAGTACTAGTTTAACAGGAGTACAGAGGCTTCTCTCAAGTAGATATTCTCAAACACGAAAGTCTACATCCCTATGGGTTTGTCTTTGCTTCAGGAGGACTCCACGCTGTAGCAATCAATCCACCAGGGTAGATTAGTGACTAGTCAAGACCCACTAAATTGACAGCCAATCACTCTCCTGTTGACTCCGGTATTCTAGCAGATCGAGTAAGGAAG